CCCGCCGGGGTCCTGCGGGATGAGGGGGGCGTGTGTCCCCCCCAGCCCGGTGCATGGTTGAGCACAGTAGGACCCCCAGGGCACCCCCGCTCTGCTGCCGCCGGTGTGGCAGGGAGGGACCCGTGGGCACAGATGGCTCCAGGCGTCCCCCGCCAAGCCTGGGGGTGCAGGATGGGGCAGTCCCACAGTAGGCAACCCCCTGACGCCACGTCCCCCGCCCCTGGGCCATTGCGGCCCCTCTCCCAGCAATTCAGTAGCCCTGTGACAGCACCGGGACCGGGGTCCTGTCCCGCCCGTGGCCGTGTCAAAGCCGGGGTCCCGGCCCCCCGCGGCCGCCCCGGCCCCCTCCACACTCAGGTGCCCCTGTCATCCCTCTGGGCTTTAACGCGGGGGTCGTTCATCTTGGGCGGGGGCCGGGCTGTCAGCGCCCAGACGGGCCATTTCCGAGCTGAGCCCCCGCACTCGGCCCTAATTGAATCCTCATGGTCCCGCCGCCGCCTCGGCCCCGCCGCGGCACCCGCCACCACCCCGCGGCCCACGTCGGGTCTCCCAGGGGTCCCTGTGCCACGGAGAGCCTGGGGATGCCCCACACCAGTCACCCTCCAGACCACAGCCGGAGCTTCCCACCCTCTCCAGCTGCCCCATCCCGGCTGCTGCCACCCTGGCACAGAGAGACCCCCGCTCGGCGGGCAGCGGGCACACAGTCCCACACACAGCTCTACTCCACAGCAGGACGGGGGTCTCACACCCCAGCACCCCAGCCTGCCCCCCCAGCCACAGACCAACTCGAGAGGGACCCCGACCCCATGGGGGTCCTGGCACAGATCGCTCTCCTGGGGAGGGCATGGGGGTCCCTGCCATCCCGGCCGTGCTGTGCAGGGTCAGGGGGCATGGGCGGGTGACAGCCCGGTGGGGGGGCAGCGGCGTTTGCTCCAGCTGGAGCCTTTGAAATGCAACCCCCCCTCAGCCCATTTGGCTGGAGTTTGGCCCAGGCACAAATGGAGGCCCGGGAGCGGGAGGGGGACCCTGTGGGGAGGGGGGTGGCAGCTGGGGCCGGGACTGGTGGGACCCCTTGACCCCAGACTGGTGCTGAGTAGGGGTCCCACGGCATCCACCCTCATCCTGAGTGCCTCTCCTGAGGCTGTGCACTGCTCCTGCCCCAGTCTGGCTGGTCCCTGGCACTGGCACACGTGGCTCCATGTGTGTTTGCCTGTACACGTGTGTGATGTCTCTGCACGTGAGCCAGCGTGTCTGTGTCCTGTGAGCCCTCTGTGCACGCCTGCACACGCCTGCACACGCCTGCACACGCCTGCACACGGCTGAGGGGAGTCTGCTGGGGGTGGTTGTGCTCACGCAGACACACACACGTGGGAGCAGCCGAGGTGTGTGCTGGCCCTTTTTGTCCCCAGCCCTGGGCTGTCCTGTCCATGTCCCCATGCTCATCCCCATTCCCATCCCCATCCCATCTGCCATTCCCATCCCATTCCCATCCCCATCCCATCCCCATCACCATCCCCACCCCATCTCATTCCCACTCCATCCCCATTCCCACTGCATCCCCATTCCCATTCCATTCCCATTCCAATTCCATTCCCATTTCCATTCCCACCCATCCCCATCTCCACCCCATCCCACTCCCCCTCGGTCCCCCAGTGCCGCAGCCGGGCTCAGCCCCCCCCCCGAGCCGCTCATGTTAATGAATCGATGATTTGCCAACAGCCCCGGGGGGGGGGATCCCCGGCTCCCCCCGCTCCCGGTACATCCATCCCCATTCACCAGGGCCAGGTGTAATCCCATTATTCTCGGCTCCGCCGCGGCCCGGGCCCACCGCGGGGTCAGGATTTATTGCCAGTAATTGCCGGGGTCCCGTCCCCCGGCGCGGGGGGGGTCCCGGCGCCCCCCCGGCGCTGCCGCCGCTCCTGACGTTTTAATTCCGCACCGAGCTGTTCCCTTATTAAAGGAAAATTCATTTGCCAGCGATTTCCATGTGCCGGGGCCGCGCGGGGCCGCGGCCCTAATCGCGTTACAGGGAGAGCTGCGGCGCGAGATCGGGATGGAGCCGATAAATAATGGATCAGGGCGGCGCGGGGCGGGGGAGGCGCCTTACGGGGACACCGCGCCGGCATCCCGGCACTCCGGCACCCCGGCACCCCGGCACTCCGGCACCCCGGCACTCCGGCACTCCGGCACCCCGGCACCCCGGCACCCCACTCCTGAAGGACACGGGGGTGGGCAGCCCCGGGAGCCCCCCTGAGCTGGGGTACCTGGAACTGGGGGGTGCTCCGAGACACCACAACCCCTGAGACGGGGGGCTGGGTGGGGGGACAGGGCAGCCCCAGCCACGGCTTGGACACCTCCTCGGCACCCCCTCACAGGTACATCACACCCTTGTGCAGGCAACCCCCCTCACACGTGCACACACACATGAACACGTGAACACACACATATGTGAACACACACACACGTGAACACACACACATGTGAACACACACACATGTGAACACACACACACGTGAACACACACACATGTGAACACACACACATGTGAACACACACACACGTGAACACATATAAACACACACATGTGAACACACACACGTGAACACACACACATGTGAACACACACACATGTGAACACACACACGTGAACACATATAAACACACACACGTGAACACACACATGTGAAAATGCATATAAACACACACACATGAACACACGTACACGTGAACACACACGAGCACATGCACGTGAACACACACATGAACACACAGATATGAACACACATGTGAACACACATGAACACACCCACGTGAACACACCCGCGTGAACACACACCCCCCGTGCCCCTGTGGGCTCATGGTGGGTGCAGGGCACAGCACAGCAGCTAGGGACGGGGTGTGAGTGTCTGGGAGGCGGTGGGACCCTACGTCCCAGACCCCCAGGGTCTCCCAGGGACACCCCAGGGTGGGAGCTGTCAGTGCCACACGGGTGCAGTGCCCTGGGGTGCCCCCAGTCCTATCCCGTGGACGTGCCCGTCACCGTCCCCTCTGGCCGCGGGCACCCGGCCAGCGCCGGGCACTCACCCGGCTCCGCAGGAAGCTCCTGTGTTCCTGCATAACCCCCGAGGGCTCGTTTTGTTCCCACCCTGTGGCCTGGTTTGGGGTGAAAAGCGTTTCCTATCCTGTGTTCCCGACAGCCGGAGCCGGCGCTTCCCCCGCCGGGAGGGGCCGGAGGGGTCGGGCAAGGCGCGGGGGGCTCAGCCCACCCCGGCAGCACCTCGGGGAGCACCTCGGGAGACACAAGTGGAGGGTTGGGGGTGCCAGCAGCACGATCTGGGAGCAACCCTGAGTGCGGGGATTCGCCCCAAGTGCTGTGGAGCAACGGGTGGGTGCGATGGAGGTGGGGAGGGGAACGATGGGGTGGAGACGACATCCCCCCCATCAGGGCGAGCACCACTGCTGGAGATCTGCCGGGTCCCTGCAGATACCCGCGCCCCAGCCCGGTGGGACCACTCCCACGTTCCCAGCCCAGGACTCGGCCGCCGAGGTCCCGCCGGCCCCAGAGGAGCCAGAATGTTCCGAGGGGGGAAGGTTTCCTCAGGGGGTGGGCGGCCGCAACTCCCGATCGGCACAAGGGCGTGGAATCACCCTGGGCAGCGATTTCTCGTGCGTGTCCTGCAGCGTTAAACCAAAACAGAGCCCAGGGGCTCCCCATGGGGCTGGGACCCCCAGGAAGGGCTGTGACCCCTATTCCCGGTACCCCGGGAGCCCGGGGCCTCGTTACAGCAGTACTGCCGGAAGGGATTGGGCTCGCGGGGGTCCAGCCGAGCCCGGGACCACCGCAGCTCCCTTGGGGGGGTGGGAGTGGGGGTCACAGCTCTCCTGCACCCCGGGACGGGCTCCGTCCCCCGGCGAGAGCTGGCGGCACGTGCAGCCACGGCAGCTCCGCCATCGCCCCGCGCCCGGCGGGGAGGACAAAAGCCGCGTGCGAGGAATCCGTGCAAACGCCGCCGTGCCCGGCACGCCGCCGTGCGAGGGGCCCCGTGCCCCTCTCCCAAACCGAGCCCCCTCCCCACCCCCCCCCCGCCGCCAGCCTTTAATTGCTCCGGCTGCTGGGAAATTTCAAGGTTGAATTTGTCAAACTCCGATTTCCAGCCGGGAGATCGCGTTCTGCCTTTGTCAGCAAGATTGGAAAAATCCACACACACACCCCCCCGCCCCTTCCCCACTTCCATAATCCCGGCATCGGCGCTGCCGGATCCCCCTGCACCTGCTCCCCAAACCCGGCTCCGTGTGCTCCCACCGGGCTCCCCCTCATCGTCCGCAGGTTCATTACCGCCCTGACCCCCGTGACCTCGCCGTGTCCCCGATCCCAGCGACGGATCCATGGGGACACCCGGCGGGATTGGGGCTGGGGGATGTCGAATCGCCCCCCCGGAGGGACCCTTCGGCATCCCCCAGCCCCTATCCCGCCGGATAATCCGGACGCGGCTTCACCAGCCGGGCCTCACCTGCGTGTGCGGCATCCCGGGATTTTTACGAGCGGCCGAAATCCCGGAGCTATTTGTACTGGGAAAGGGCAGTGGGAATGTGGGGAGGGAGGGGGGATTTATGGCTCTGAAACCCAAAACCCACCCGAAAAGGCTTAATCACTCCCAGCCGCTGCCCCGGCGCTTTTATGGGGCATTTTAGAGCAAAAGAGCCAATAAATTTTTGGGTGAGGGTAAGAGCCACGATGAGGATGAGGAGGGAGCGGAGGGGACAGAGGGGACCCACCAGGGTGGGTTAAAATGGGGGAGACAACAAGGGGGAGGTGCGGGGCTGAGCCCCGGTAGTGGCGGAGAGGGGTCGGTCCCCCCCCTAGACGGGGGGGGCGTCGGTGGCTCCTCCTCCTCCTCCTCCCGGTATCCCGGGCCTTTAAGGCGGTGGAACGGGGATCGCGGGGCTGGGGGGGGGTGGGGGGCGGCGGGTCCCCGTCCCGGCGCGGGTCCCGGTCCGGCATGACCTCGGCGGGGGAGGCGGCCGGTTCCCCCCCTCTGCCCGCCGCGGTCGGCGGCCATCGGCGAAGCCCCCTGGACCGGCTCCCGCCCCCCGCCAACACCACCAAACCGCTGACCCCTTTCGGCATCGAGGACATCCTGGGACGCCCCCGCGGCGGGAGCCCCCCCGGGACTGGGACCGGTCCCGCCGCCCCCCCCGCCCCGGCGGGGCCCCGCGGCGGCGGCTGCGCCCCGGCCTCGCCGCTCTGGGCGCTGGAGGAACTCGCCAGTAAAACCTTCCAGGGGCTGGAGCTGGGAATGCTGCAAGCAGCCGGAGGTACCGGGACCGGGGGGCTACCAGGGCGGGGGGGCTCCGCCGGGACCGGGGCGGGCGCCGGGAACCGGGCAGCGGGCACCGGGCAGGTGGCGGGGCCGGCGGGCGGCGGGGGAGGCCGTGGCGAGGCTGAGGATGCTCCTCGTCCCCGGTCCCGGGAAGTTTCCTCCGTGTCCCGGAGGGGCGAGCGCAGCCGGGAGGCCCGGGAAGCCGCCGGTGCTCGCCTGGCGCGGCGGGGACACGCGGCAGCCTCTGCCCGGAGGGAGGGAAGAGCCCCGAGACCGGACACCGGGAGCCAGAGCGAGCCCCGGCCCCGGTGAGCCGCCTCCGGCCCCGAGGCACCGGAGCTCCGGGAGCACCGGCCGGGACGGCGCCGGCAGCTTTACCGGGAGCCACGGGACCGGGCGGTGGATGAGCCCCGCCGGGCCGTGCCCATGACCGTGACCGAGCGCGGGGGCCGAGCGGCGGATCGGGCCAGGACGCGACGGAAACCCGGTGCGGGCCCCGAGCCCCGGCGGGGACGGCGGCTCTGGCCCGGTTTCGGCCTCCAGCAGCGGCCCGGTACCGGCGGGGTGCGACCGCCCGTTGTGGATGGGGACGAACCGGCTCTGCCGCTGCCGGGCTCGGCCTCACCGGGTGGACGGACAGACGGATACCGACAGACAGAGCGCGGCGCCGCCGGGAAGGAAAAAAAACCGCTACTGGGATGGACAGACGGACACGGGCGGACCGATCGGGACTCTGGGACTGACCGGAAAAACCAAGCTCTTACCGGGACAATCACGGACGGACCGATCGGGGCTCCGGGATTAACGGAAAATCCCTCACACGGACAGACACACGGACAGGCAGAGCGCGGCGCCGCCCGGAATGAATAGAACCGTTACCGGGACGGACAGACCGACTCGGGGAGAACGAGAGGGGCTCCAGTAATTAACGGAAAAATAAAAACACCCTTACCGAAACGGATAGAGAGGATCTCGGTAATTAACGGGGAAAAAAACGTTACCGGGACGGACAGACGAACAGTCGCGGCAGAGCAGCGTTCCGGTGATTAACGGACAGGGGTGGGCGCAAGGCGGCTCCCGCCGGTAACGAAAAATCCTGCGGACAGACGGACACGGATCGACCGAGCAGCGCTCCCGTGAGTAACCGAACCCCGTTACCGGTCAGACAGACGGACACGGGCAGAGCTGGGCTCCGGTAGATAAAGGAAAGAAATTCCCTAATTACGAGCGTCGCTCCGGTAATTAACGAACCGTCGTACAGGGCGGACAGACAGAGTTGGGTCCGTGATTAACGAATAAACCAACCCATTACCGTGTGGAGAGACGGACAGAACGGAGACGGCTCGAGGCGCCCGGAATTAACGTAAAGCCCCGTTATCAGAGGGACGGCCACGGCCGGGAACGACATAAACGAAGGAAAAAATCCCGTTACGGAGCAGACAGGCTGACATAAAAGGGGGCGAAAAAAAGCCCCCGTTGCCGGGATGGACGGACGGACAGAAATGTGGTCGATCGGGGCTCCAGGAATTAAGGTAAAAATGCCCGTTACCTGACTGACAGACGGACACGGCCGGAATCGAAAAAAAATAACGAAAAAATCCCGTTACCGGGCGAACAGATGGACCGAAACAGGAGCGATCCCCGTTACCAGCCGGGCAGACGGACAGACACGGGAATGGAAAAAAAAAAAAAAAAAGAACGAAAAAACCCCGTTGCCTACTGGACAGACGGACAGACTCGGGTGCGATCGGGCCTCCCAGAGCGGGAGTGAAGCCCCGGTACCGGCCGGACAGACGGACACGGCCGAGCGGGAATCTCGGAATTAACAAAACCCGATCGCAAACCGGCAGCGGGGAACGGCGGAACGAGCCGGGACCGGCGGACAGAGGGAGGTGCCCGTAACTCAGGTAAAACCTCGTTACCGGGACGGACCCACGGACACGGCCGGAACTGCCCGGGGCTTCCGTGATGAACGAAAATCCCTCTTCGCAGCGACGAAGGATGGACGGACACGGGAGCGATCAGGGCTCCTGGAGCGGGCGTAAATCCCCGTTGCCGGGACGGACGGACAGAAACGGTGTCGATCGGGACTCCGAGAGCGGAGGGGAAGTCCTGTTACCGGACTGACGGACGGGAGCGATGGAGGTTTCGTGACCGCGGTAAAAAGCCCGTTACCGGGACGAACCGGTAACAGTCCCAACTCAAGCGGGACTCGGCCGAGACGGCCCGGGGCTCTGGTACCGAACGGTCGGGGGTCCCGAGGAGCGGAGCTCCCGCTGTGGGTGGCCGCGGGGGTCACCGCCGTTACCGGGGGACGCACGGTGATCCCGGGAGCCGCGTTACCGAGAGGCGGGTTGGTGCCGCCGGCAGCGGAGGGATGGAACGGCACCGAGAGCGGGAGCAGGAGAGGGACCCGGGCCGCCACCGGGACCCCGCTGGCGGCGTTGAGCCGTAGCCGGGGCCGCGATCCGCGTCTCACCGGGTGTTCTCTACATCGATACCGGCAGCAGCGGCCGCACCGGAGCCGAGAGCCGCGACGGGATCGGATGCAGGGAGCAGCACGGCCTCAAGTCGCCTGGAATCGTAGAGAGGAGGATCTCGGTTTCCACCGGGGGCTCCCGGCTCCTCTCCCGGCTCCTCGCTCCGCTCCCGTCTCCCTGCTCTGTTCCCGGACCAGCCGCAGCAGGACACGGGGGTCTCGGCCACGGGCGCAGCGGCGGCGACTTCGACGCGGCCGGGGCCGCTGTGGAACCGCGACTCCCGGCTCCCGGCACCGGGCGCAGTTTGGTTTGCTCGGCTCTGGTGGGCTCGGCTCCGTACGGCACGGCACGGCACGGCACGGCACGGCACGGCACGGCACGGCTCTTCTGCTTCCGGCTCGACCCGAGCCGGTTCGTCTCCGTTGGACCGGGAGTCGGCGGAGCCGGGGTCCGCCCGCCGTGCCGGTCGCGGCTCGGTGCGATCGGTGCGGGTGCCGTTACCGGTGCCGCTGCCCTGACACTGCTACGCCCAGAGGTCGGGCCCCGCAGTGCTCGGGGCGGACCCGGTGCAGGCGCCCGTGCCATTATCCGTTGCTCGGTGCAGGTCCCGCTGCCTTTGCCCTGACGCCGCTGTCCCCGCAGGTCGGGCCCCGCCGTGCTCCGCGGGGCTCGGCGGTGCCGGTGCGGGTCCCGGGCCCCGACACGCTGTCCTCGTACGTCCTTCCCCACCGGGCGCCTCGGGGCCGTTTCCCGTGCCCGGTGCGGGTCCCGGGGCCGGTGCTCTGACCCCGCTGTCCCCGCAGGCACTTCCTGGCGGGCGCCCCGGGGCTATTCCCCAGTGCCGACGCGGGTTGCGGGGCCGTTCCCCGTGCCCGGTGCCGGTGCCCTGACCCCGCTGTCCCCGCAGGTCCGTCCCCGCCGGGCGCCCCGGGCCCGCGCCCTCCCTGCAGGAAGCGTCGCAAGTCCCGGACCGCGTTCACGGCGCAGCAGCTGCGGGAGCTGGAGCAGCGGTTCCGGCGGCAGCGCTACCTCTCCCCGGTGGACCGGGACGCGCTGGCGGCGCGGCTGGCGCTCTCCGCCGCCCAGGTCATCACCTGGTTCCAGAACCGCCGCGCCAAGCTCAAGCGGGACCTGGAGGAGCTGCGGGCGGACGTGGCCTCGCTGCAGGCGCTGCCCCCCGCCGCCCTCCAGCAGCTGGCGGGGCTGCCCGAGCCCCCGGGGGCTGCCGGTACCGGCACCGCGGCGCCCGCCGAGCTCTCGGAGGAGGAGATCGACGTGGCGGACTGAGCCCAGCCCGCTCGGACCGACTCGCCCCGCTCGGTTCCGCTCGGCACCGCCCGGGCCGACACTGCTCCGCTCGGCTCCACTCGCCTCGGTCCGAACGGAGCCGAGCCCGGCCCGGCCCCGCCCCCTCGGGGCACCCGTTTTTGGGTATTTTTTTTTTGTTCATCTTTCCCTTGTCTCTTTCTTTTTTTTTTTTTAATTTTATTTTCTATCGGCCCCGGTGTAAATATTTGCAATAAAGGCGACACCTTATTATGGAACCCTGATGCCCCCCGGGGACCACTCTGTATCCCCCATTTTCCAGGCGAGCACTTCCCGCCGCGGGCATTAATTTGTTTTAACCAGTGATTAATTACCGGCTGAGGCCGACCCTCCCCCCCTCAATTTGCATATTAATCAAATTGTATTTGATGTCCCGCCTGTCACTCCCCACCCTGAAGCTCCTGTCACCAGCAAGTGACATTCCGGGGGGGGGTGGGGACCCCCCCGCTGCCCCCCAGGACTGGAGGGACACGGGAGGGCGAGGGGCAACATGGGAAGGGGACGTGGGGGGCTGGACTGGGGGGGGCGGGGGGGGCAGAGAGGGCAGGGGGGTGGAAGGAGGGCTGGGGGGTGGGGGGAGGCACCAATCCAAGGGAAGGAAAAGCCAGAGAGAAGGACAACAGTCTCAGTTTTATTATAAAACCCAAATAGGAAACAAATCCCTGAGGGGCCATGGGGATCAGCCCAGGCCCACCCCCCCCAGGCACGAGGGGCTGCGGGGGGGTCCCGACCCCCCCAAGGCAGGAGGGGGGAACACTCTCACCCCCAGCGTGGGGACAAGGCACAGGCAGGTACAGGCAGGTGTGGGGGGGCCCCAGCAGCCCCCCCCGACAGAGCAGGGTCATCTGAGCAGCCCCCCGGGGGCAGGACCCCCCCTGGCGCGGGGCAGGGGGGCCGGCGTGGCGTGGGACGGGTGCTTGAGCTGCAGCACCAGCTCGCTGCCCTCCACGGTGGCACCCTGGGGACAGGGGGGAGCTGGCACCGGGACAGGCCCCGCGGGCAGGGGTGTCCCAGGGCAGGGGTGTCCCAGGGCAGGGGTGTCCCAGGGCAGGGGTGTCCCAGGGCGGGGCTGTCCCAGGGCAGGGGGGTCCCAGGGCGGGGCTGTCCCAGGGCGGGGCTGTCCCAGGGCAGGGGGGTCCCAGGGCGGGGCTGTCCCAGGGCAGGGGGGTCCCAGGGCAGGGCTGTCCCAGGGCGGGGCTGTCCCAGGGCAGGGGCTGTCCCAGGGCGGGGCTGTCCCAGGGCGGGGCTGTCGCAGGGCAGGGGTGTCCCAGGGCAGGGGTGTCCCAGGGCGGGGCTGTCGCAGGGCGGGGCTGTCCCAGGGCGGGGCTGTCCCAGGGTGGGGCTGTCCCAGGGTGGGGCTGTCCCAGGGCGGGGCTGTCGCAGGGCGGGGCTGTCCCAGGGTGGGGCTGTCCCAGGGCGGGGCTGTCCCAGGGCGGGGCTGTCCCAGGGTGGGGCTGTCCCAGGGCGGGGCTGTCGCAGGGCGGGGTACCCGTGTGCCCCCCAGCTCACCTGCATGGCCCCGAAGGCCGCCTCCGCCGCCGCCTTCCCGCAGAAGTTGATGAAGGCACAGCGCCGGCCCGGGAGCATCCGCACCGAGTGGATCTCCCCGAACCTGGGGGGCACAGACCCCCAAACGTGGGGTGGGCGAGGGTTAGAGATACCCAACCCCGCGGGGTGGGGGGTCAGAGACCCTCAAATGCGGCAGGGGGCTTAGACACCCCCAAATGTGTGTGGCAGGAAAGCACGAAAAACCCTCGAAGATGGAGGAAGAGTACTAGACACCCTCAAAACCACAGGAAGGGGGATCAAAAACCTCCAAATCTGAGGGAAAACAGTTACAAATACCCCAAAGCAGTGCAGTAGAGACCCCCAATGGTGGAGGAAGCTTAGATACCACCAAATCTGGGGAAGTAGATCACAGACACCCCTCCCCAAAGCCACCCTTGCAGGTCAGAACCACCAGGGAATAGGGACAGAGACAGGGCTGGGGGGCACCAGGTCTGTGCTGGGGGGCCGGGGGTCCCAGGGGGCAGTACCTGGGTCCTGGGGGTCACTCACCGGCCGAAGGAGCGGCGCAGCACCTTCTCGCTGATTCGGGGCGTGACGTTGCCCACCCAGAGCGGGAAGCAGTCCCTGCAGAGAGCCACCCTGGTGTCACCAGAGCCAGCACCACCACGGGGGCTCTGGGTCCCCCCAGCCCCCTGGAGCCCCGTACCTGGCAGGGTGGCTCGGTGGCAGTGTCAGGTGGCTGGCAGCCGTGGCAGGTCCCTGGCCTCGGTCTCTCGTGGGGGTTCCGGGGCTCCCCCCACCACCACTCGTGTCACCTGTCTGCTGGCAGCTCCCGCTCGCCCACCCCCCTGCCGAGGGGCCAGGGGGGTCAGCACCCACCGGGACACGGGGACACCCCCGGGGCCCCCCCAGCCCTGGTCCCTTACCGGGGAGAAGCGGCGGCTCCTTGGTCTCAGGCAGGAAAGGGGACACAGGGACCCCCCCGGGGCGGCTGTGCTGCTGTGGGAGGACAGGGGTGAGGTGTGGGGGGCACAGGGGGTGGGGGACAGGGGATGGGGTGCAGGGGAAGGGGGTCTCACCCGCAGCAGGGCCCGGCAGGCCTCCAGCTGTGCAGCGGCCTCAGCGTGGGCCCCGTCCCGCAGCAGCAGCTCCTCGAAGGTGCGCGCGGCCTCGGCGTAGCGCTGGGGGCAGCGGGCACCTACAGCCCCCCACCCGGCCCCACGGGCACCCCACTGCCCAAACGGCACCCCAGGGCACCTACAGCCCCCCACCCGGCCCCACGGGCACCCCACTGCCCAAATGGCACCCCAGGGCACCCCACAGCCCCCCACCCGGCCCCATGGGCACCCCACTGCCCAAATGGCACCCCAGGGCCCCCACAGGACAACAGCCCCCCACCCAGCCCCACGGGCACCCCACTGCCCAAATGGCACCCCAGGGCACCCCACAGCCCCCCACCCAGCCCCACGGGCACCCCACTGCCCAAATGGCACCCCAGGGCACCCCACAGCCCCCCACCCAGCCCCACGGGCACCCCACTGCCCAAATGGCACCCCAGGGCACCCCACAGCCCCCCACCCGGCCCCATGGGCACCCCACTGCCCAAATGGCACCCCAGGGCCACCCCACACACCACAGCCCCCCCACCCCCAGCCCCACGGGCACCCCCCTGCCCAAATGGCACCCCCAGGGCACCCCACACACAAACCCCCCACCCCAGACCCAGCCCCAACGGGCCAAACCACCCACACTACTGCCAAAATGGCACCCAGGGAACCCCACAAGCCACAGCCCCCCACCCGGGCCCCCATGGCACCCCCCACTGCCCCAAAGGCAAACCCCCCCGGGAAGCCTACGGCCCCCACCCAGCCCCACAGGCACCCCACTGCCCAAATGGCAGGCCAGAGCACCCCACAGCCCCCCACCCGGCCCCACGGCCACCCCACTGCCCAAATGGCAGCCCAGGGCACCCCACAGCCCCACTGGCATCTGCCAGCCCTCCACCCAGCCCCTTTCCCAGTCCTCCAAGCCCTAACACTCCACACACCCTAATTTGCATCTGGTTCCTTCCTCCTCTTCCCCAACTCTGGCACCCCTCAGCCTGTACCATGCAGCCATAGCACCTCAGAGCTCCCCCAGATCCCCACAGCTCTGACCCAGCCCCACTGGCACCCCACAGCCCCCAACTCAGCCCCAACAGCACCCCGTGGCACACTACAGCCTCCCGAAAGCCCCCCCCCCCCACTCCTGGTGTGCTGCAGCCCCTCACCCAGCCATGGCACCCTCCAGGCCCCCTCCAGCCCCCCTGCCCTCAGCCCCCAGCCCCTCTCGCAGCCCCTGGAGCCCCCCCCGGGTACCTGCAGCCCCCGCAGGGCTTTGCCCTTGCGGAAGGAGCCCTTGGGCCAGCCCGGCTGCAGCCCCAGCGCCGCCTCCGCGTCCCCCAGCGCCTCCTCGTATCGGCCCAGCTTCTCCAGGCAGTACGAGCGGTTCCCCAGGAGCCTGTGGGGACGGGGGGGGTCGCTGCTGCCCGGCCCCCCCACCCTGGGACACCCAGGACCCCCCCGGACCCCCCCACTCACCGGTGCTCCCGGGGGTTCAGCTTCAGGGCAGCACTGAAGGCCCGAACGGCCTCGTCGTGCCGGCCCGCCTGGGCTGCAGCGATCCCACGGCCTGGGGGCACGGGGGGCACGGAGCTGACAGGGTCCCCTGGCCTAGGAACAGCCTGCAGCTGCGCCAGCCAGGAGCTCTGCACAGCACCCCCAGGGCAGGGCTGCCCTGGACCTGAGGAGCTGCACAGAGAGACCCCCAGACCAGAACACCCTGGGCAGGGAGTGCCCCCAGCACAGACCACCCTGAGGAGGGAAAACCTCCCTGGCACAAGCCCCCTCACAAGCTGGGGAGCAGCAGGGAGAGCCCCCCCAGCACAGAATCCCCAGAGCAGCAGGGAGAACCCCCTTGGCACAGCAGGAGAGCCCCCCATACCCCCACCACATCTCCGGTGTCTCTGCACTGACCTGCCAGCATCAGGCTCTGCTCCACCGCACTGGGGCCAGGGGGCTGGGGGACCCGGGGGGGGGCAGGGCCCTCCCCACTGCCCTTCTCTGGTGCCCTCCTGCCCGGCTCTGCGTCCCCTGTGCCGGGGGGCCGCTCCCTGCCCGGGGTGGGCAGCCGAACCCCCGCCTTCTCCCGCGCTTTGCAGACGAAGGTGCAGCTCAGGTCCAGCTCCTCCTGGGGGGGAAGGGGGTGGGCAGGCAGAGCCCAGAGACACCCCCACCCTGTGCCCACACAGCCCCCTGGGGAGAATCTCACTCACCTCTGCTCCCTCTGTGTCCTCTGGTGGGGCTGTGGAGTTCTCAGGGTGCGGGGAGGGGTCTGTGCACTCCCCCTCCTCCTCAGCACCATCCTGGGGGGGGCCAGTGCCCGCGAGGCCGCTCGGGACCGGGGGACTCTGCAAGGACAGGGAGGGAGAGGGGTGGCTGGTGTAGGTGGTGCTGACCAGCCCCCAGCTCTGGGGACCCCCAGGACAGCTTGAGGGGGCTGGAGAAGTCACTCACTGGGTCAGTGTTCTCCTTGTTCTTCTGCTCTTGACCTAGTTTCTCCCGTTTTTTCCGGTCTTT